AAATTTCCCTGATAGTATTACAGAGTCCTAATGCTTCCAGTTTCAACTATTGATTAAGGAGCCAAAACTAAACTCAGTTTTACCTCTGCGTAGTTATTGTCTCAAGGACACTGCATGTCACTTTATTCATCTGCAAAATTTGTTTTATGCTTTTGCTGTCAAGCTGTCACTYTCTGCATCTAATAGATTGTGCTACTTATTTCTGATTAGGTGCTCTACTTAAGGCACTGAATTATTAAATCAGTGGCAGAATTATTGGCATTTTTCTGTATTTTTAAAATGTTTTATTTTGAAAATGTTCTTATTGCAAATTTATGTGGAGCTAGCAGAATTCTCACTACTTCCCTTTTGTTTTTGTTAATTAACTAGTCTTGATTTTCTGGGGCTGTGCTGCTTGGTGGTGGCTGGCTTGTTGGCAGTACCTAACAGAGTCCTTTTCTATCATCTCACCTATACTCCATTGTAATACTTTGCAAAGCACGAAGAAAGGTGRATGGGGTTCCTTCTATAATCATTTTTCTTCTTTGCAATTTCCACGTTTGACAGACCTTTGGCCAACATTGTGAATTCTCTCTGAAAGTCCATAATTTTGTTGATGCCTTTTTTTTTTTGTTTGTTTTGACTTTCATCACTTTATTTGGAGATGTATCATTTGTTACAATTGCGTAGTATAGAGTCATAGACTCATTATGGTTGTAAAAGACCTTCAGGATCATCAAGTCCAACTGYAAATCATTACCACCATGCCTACTAAACCACGTCCCTAAGTGGTTCTACGCATTCTATGTGGTTCCCTAAGCAGTTCTAATGTACGCATTTCTTGAACACCACCAGAGATGGTGACTCCACCGCTTCCTTGGGCAGCCTGTTCCAAGGCTTCACCACTCTTTCTATACATTGTTTTTTTCTAATATCTAACCTGAACCTCCTCCTAGCACAACCTGAGGCCATTTCCTCTTTTTCTATTGGTAGTTATTTTGGAGAACAGTTCGAATGAAAAAGCTTGCACCATGATTCTGGAGAAAGATTGACAATTTCTTAGTTTTCCTAAAGAACAATCTCTGTTTCAGAAGAAAAGCTTCTGTCTGTCTGTCTGTCTGTCTCTCTCTCTCTCTCTCTCTCTCTCATTTTTTTGCTCACTTTTTTTTCTTTTTTTTCTTTTTCTTTTTATCCCTCTCGAGGCTATGTTAAGAAGTTGGGATTATTTTTATTATAGTCAGGTGGACTATCATGTAATACATGTAATAATCTAAAACAATTATTTAGAAGTTTTTATTAAATGTTCTCCAGTTTAAACTCTCTAACTCAGTGAAAATTAGTTTACTATATCCCTAATGTTTTTTTTTTGAGGGTGAGACCAAACTTGGAAAACAAAGGAAAAGAGTGAGGCAATCTTTTTAAAAAAAAAAAGGAAAAAAAAAAAAGAAAAACAACAACAACAAGAAAACAACCTTAAAAGAGCAGATTTTGCAGATGTTGATTTTATTTATTTTAAGAACTTATAACAATTCCTCAGGCTCTTACTGGTCTGTATAAAGTTCCTTTGAACTTGAGGTCAGAATTGTGATGCAAGAGGTACAAATACATCTAGACAATTTTTATCAATGGCATTATTAAATAAGTTACAATAGTAATCTTACTGTTCTAATATTTTAAAACAACTGATTTTACCTTCCTTTAAACAACTCCCTTTAGAAGTCTTCTGAAAATTCCAGCTAGCTGCCTTCAGTTTCTGTGCAAGGCCATGTAAACAGTCATTCAATGTTTTGGATGCTCAGTTTCAGACTGGATGCACCAGAACAACGTCTGCCGTATTATATGCCAGCTATTTTTATTAAAACCATTATTTCACTTTTTTTCTGTTTATTGCCATTCTTCTTTTGGCCTTTCCCCCATGTTCCCCCCACTTATGTTTGACAAACCACTGATACTGCTTTAGTAGACCTGGTTGTCTGTCTCTTTCTTCTCTTTTTAGATACTCAAAATATTTTTGCCATTTGCCAGTTATAAGGTTATCAATGTTAATTTGCCTTTTAAAAGCCTTATTATCAAACCTGCAGTTCAAGGTGATGTTTCTAGCATGGAAGTTCCCATTCTCTTTGAATTGCTAATTGGTTTGTAGCCTATTTGAGATTAGGAATGGCCTCTTTAGAGCTCTAGATGATCAATTTTGTGAGAGAGAAGGCACCATCCACCTCTGTAGTCTAGATGGGAAGAATAGTGATCAGAAGAGATTGGTGTCTGGCTGTACTCAGGTTGAAGTCAGTTTTGTGATGCTTTGATCAGGACTCCAGGAGGCATCAGGTAAAGGAACAGTTTAGAAGCAATAGCAACCAAAAGTATTTTACAGAAATATATAAGTGATTCAAAAACATTAGTTTTTTATGGACCCCGTGTCTTACAATAGCTCGAGTATTTCAAATTATTAATAGCAGAGAAAACTTGGAGTTTTTATTTGTAGCATAAATAAATTAGGTGAGACTTTTCAAGGACAAGCCTGGGGCATGGTAAATGAGCTCCTGATGCTCGTAGGCAAGTGCTGCTTCCAAAGATTGTTTCTCTCTGCCTCAGGAAGTGCTCTTACTGCAGGAAGTTCCTATAGGAATGCAGACATATTTTGAACAAAGATTCTAAAAAGCGAAATATGCACCACAATTACCAAAAGCATTTCGGAGTACAAGGAATGTTAAATAACTGATGTGATATAGAGTTTAACTTGAAGTGGTCCTGTGTCTAGTAGGTAAGGCATTGCAGGTTTTGAAATGATCACTTTTGTAAGCTCACCTTAGCTTGGCAGCTACAGGGCTAGGGATTTACTGAACTTAAATTGACATTTCTTAAGAAGAACCTGGCACAATCTCTTCTGGTTTGGTGTGAATTCAGACTGTCTAAATCAGTCTGGAAGTCTTCAGTTGCTTGACAGCTGTCATGAATCCTAGTGGATAAAGTGTGTGCTGTAGCATATAGGAGAGATGATAGGGCAGAAGTTCAATTGATCTTAAGTCACTGTAGTAGACAGCTACTCTCAAAAGAAGGTAATGATCTCTTGTGTGTGATTTTTCATTGGACTATAGTGAACTTGCTCGAGTAACAAAATCATCAGAAAGCTGACAGTTCTGGGATTATCTGTTAGATCTTTTTCAAACTGCAGCATTTTTTTTTCCCTCATTTGTTCCTCTTCTTCTTGAAATTTCTGTCACTTCTTAAATCTTAAAATGTTTATTTTCTTCTCTTTTGTTCTAAAGCCCAAAAAGGAGGGGAAAATTGTATTGTCCCTAGGGCATCAGATGAACAGAATAAACTTTTTTTTTTTTTTTTTTTCAGATGTGTAATTTGTAGGCACTCTGAGGTTGGAACTATACTGTAGAGTATGCCATATATTCTCTGCTGTCAGAGTACGAAGCAGTCGGCATACGATCGTAATGTCAGCACAAAGATCTAAGTTAAACAAACTATTTTGATTCAATAGTTATATGAAATGGGCTATAGAATTTTACAGCTGGTTATTTCTTTTAGTCAAACAGCTTCTTTGCATAAAGAATGTTTCAGAACGGCAACCAATATTGTTTTGATTCTCCATCTCATCCATCTCATATTCTGATTCTTTTTAATCTTGTTCCATAAGTGGTCGTCTCTGAACAGCAGTGATTCATTGCTTTTCTCCCTTCCTACCCAGACCATGTAGGAGTGCACTGTTACTCCCACTGTTTACTTTGGAGATTTCTAAATAGACAGTCAGCTTTTCACTGCTGATGTGTTTCTTGGTCACTGATGCATCAAAGCTAAATAATATTGGACTAAATTCCAGTTCCTTTTGAGACATGCATAAAATGTTTCCCCCTTGATGCTTGAGGTCTTCTAGATTAACAGATTTTAATGTATTTAATCGGTATTTCATATTTTGTCTGTACAGTATTCTGTAATGCTAATATTTCACAGAAGTGAAAACCTGTACTTTTTTTTTTTTTTTTTTTTGATAGACCTGTCACATAGTTGTATTTTTCTTCTCATGCTGTGCATCCTTTTAGTAGCCATCCTTTAGGAGCCGTCCTTTAGCAGCCAGAACTGCTGTTAGGTTGCCTCTGCAATTGGCTTCTTGTTATTATTGAAAAGATAGAAATTGAAACATGGAAACTCTTTTTGATCATTTATTAACAGCCTACTACCTCCATTAGATAATGGCCTTAATGATGTTAAATTTTTTTTTCTTGTATATTTAAATATTTCTACAGACACTGATCCTGACAAAAGCTTTTTTCCTTTGTTGTTGGTATGCATTGAAAGCATAGATAAATGCTAAGGATTTTGTTTTAAAAAAAGGTATATTTTTCTGTAGCTATAAATATTTACTATCTTTATCTCTTAATCAGTATCAGCCTTTAAGTATAGTGTAGCTCTGTACAATAATTGTGTTTTCTGGGCTTTTTGTGAGGTTTTGAGGGTGGGAGGAGGAGAATTGCTAAATATAACTTATTTCAAATGCAGTTTTTTCATGTTAATGTTTTTGTTTGTGTGCTTTTTTGATTTTTTTTTTTTTATAATTTTCCTTGCTTTGGGAATTGACCACTCTAAGGCGCCTGTCCTATTTGTGTTTCAAATAGGAACTTTCTTTGTTTGCTTCTAAGAAATAGAGTTGAGATAGGATTGTTGGTTTTGGAGATAATGGTTTTCTTGGTATAAGAATTTTATCTTTCTTTTTTCTGCCAAACAATTCCAAAACAATATTGTGGTTGCATTATATATTAGAAAACTGCTGTAGTTTTGGTTGTTTTTTTTTTTTTTTAATATAATTATAGCTGCATGAGGCCTTGGGTGCATCTCCCACTATCTCAGTGTCTACCTTTCCTTTTATTCTCTCTCATGTGTTGACAGCATAATTATACTTGTTAATGAGTAAGTGGCTGTGGACCAATTTGTTACCTAGTTTTATTTGGTAGTCTGCAACAGATTCCTACCAGTGCCTCCTTTCTGGGCATAAGTACTATTATTCCAATTTACAGATGGGGAAACTCAGCCAGTGAGAGACTAAGTGGCTTGACCACGGTCATGCAGGAAGCCTCTGATGGAGCAGGGAATTGAACCTGGGTCTGTGGCTACTCTCTAGCAACTGATGGACCATCCTTCCTTTCAAAACTAGGTAAAATTTAAGACCATTTTAAAGGATTATTTTTAAACTTGGATTTTTTTTTGGCCATCTTCTGCTTTTTTAATATATAAAGTCCTAAAATGTAAAAGTTTTCTCATGTTTTTCTTTAGACGACATCTACTGTAGAACTTTGTGCAAATTTTAATGAAATAAGCTCCAGCAGTTTTTCTATTATAAATCATGTTTGGAGCATGTGTATCATGTGACAGAAAAGACGAGTATATCTGTCTTATCTAAACTTTATTCTTCCTATTGCTGCTACATTTGTAGTGGAACTGATTTAGGAAAACATTAGGGAAAACATCTGAAGAAGGCTATATCATTTATGAGGGTGTATTACAGTCTGAATGTTAATGTAATTGGGTAGACAAGAAAGCATGTTCTAGAGAGGTGCTTCAGTCTGTRTTTCTGTATCCAATAGAAAGTAGAGCAATGGATGAAGGGGAGGGGAGGAGATGGCAAAAAAAAACCCCAAAATTTTGGGAGGCTTGGAAGAATTACTGATGTTTCAAGAAAATTGCAGTTTAAAAACATCTAAAAATCATTATTTTTTTGTAGTAGGGTATTACTTAAGGAATGCTTTCTTTTTCCCTATAGGAGGACTTGGGAACTCTTGCAGGTGCATTTTGTCTAAGGAACATCAGTTGCTTTTCTCGATAAGGACATGTCCGCACGAACTGTTTAAGCATTGATATTAACAAAGCTCCTTTGCTGCTCTTATGAACAGCTTGCCTAAATAGGTTGTGAGCAGAGTTAGGAGGGTCAAGAGAAGATGTTGTGTGTAGAGGTGAGCATTTGAATAGTAAGACACCTGATACATTTGAGAGGTAACTTTTCTAGCAATAACTATTCTAATATAGCCAGGGCTGTAGTATCCAGACCTTTCCTTTTTGACACAGAGTTATGGTTTTAAAAATGAGTTTGAGAAAGAACAGAAACTTTTTGGTTATAATGCAGCAATTTTGCTCCAAGATTCTGTTTTTTTTTTTCCAACAAAAATTTTTTAAAAGGTGTAATACTGCTGCTTACTGCTTCATATATGAAAAGCAAATGTTTCATTCTCATATCTGTCTTGTCTGTCCTTATTTTCTTTGACTTTCTTTTTTTTCCTGTCAGAATTCTCTGAGCTTTTTAAAAATATATATTTTTATATAATTATATGTGTGTGTGTGTATACATATACATAACACTATATATGTATATATTTATATATAAAATACATATAATATATAGTATTATATAATAATATATACAAATATATTATATATAAAATACATATTTATTATATATACATATATACTATACATATACATATTACACACACGTGTGTGTGTGTRTATAKAGAKATATATAKAKAKAGAGAGAGAGAGCTTGCTTCCCTCCCCCCTCTCCCCCCCGCCAAATCTAATCATATTGGGCATCAGTTCATGAATATAGCTGTAACTATTTCCTATAATCATACGAAGCAGTATATACACACAGACATTCCTAGTGTACTGTGCAAGTCGGCCTTTGCTTCCATCTTTACACTTAGTCTGTTGCAGATCCTGGAAACAGAAACTGAGAACATACCTGTTTGCCTTTTAAGTTTTGTGCCTTTTTGTCATTCTGTGGTCTGTTTGAAACTACTGAGAAAATTTTTCCCAATGTAACACTCAACATTGCATGACTGTGGAACAGCTACCCTGTGTATTCATATGTGGAAGAATATTCTGCTTAATATTGGTTTAGAACTGGTTACACCTAAATAGTTGTGAATGAAAATYTGGCAAGACTTGCTTACGCTAAATTTGCAAAAATGAAAGAAAACTTGAGTATTGGGTATATGTCCAGTGTCTGCATGTAAGATGAACTGGCCGTATCTTCTGCTGTTTTGCAGCAGTGTGAGATGAACTTCATATGATTGTGCTGAAAGAATCTTTTTTTTTCCCTTTTGACACAGTCATGGGTTTGTGGATTTAGAAAGGAAAACTTTAAGGTTTGTTCTCTTAGTGAAGTAACAGGAAGTATTGCTACTGCTTTGCCTGGAACAGGTGTCATAATATCTAGCGCATTAGTGCACACCTTAGAAAAACACAAGAGGTTCATCTCGAGGTCCATCATTTACTTTTTTTTTTTTAAACAAGGAGTGAACTTAAATTTGCAACTATAAGTGACTGTTCCACTGCAGCGATTCATAGAAATGTGAGGTTAAGATTGGAAGAAGTTTCAAAAAGGTCTTGTTTCATGTGTGTTACAAGGTAAACTTCCTTGTGTACATCTTTTATGAAGCAATACACTGAAAATGAACTTAATACGAATTCTTTTTTCCTTTCTTTGGGAGAGAAAGAAAAGCTACACGTTATTGATGATTTGAATTTGTGTGCTTTTTAATATCTTTGACAACTGGTTCAAGGGATATTCTGGTAGAAGTCTCTTCTGGTTTGATCAAATCTCCCCTCCTTTTTATTAAGTTCTTAAATAGCTTTCAAGAGGCATATGTGCCAGAATTGGCATCACATAGGTCTGACAATTTTCCATACGAATTTCATATGAGCCTCATAACAATATGGTTTTATCACACATGCTGTATATAAAAGCACATTTTTCCATTTCACTTACTGTAAACTACAGTCCTCTATTTATATACCACATTCTACTGCCAAAGTAATATTGGTACATTATCAAGAAAGATGCATGGGCTGGTGAGCCAGGGAAGGCTTCAGACAAGTTTCCACTGTGTTGCTGAGGCTGAATTTGAGGAAAGACATTTTGAAAAGCCATGTCACCTTTCTGTGGAGGACAGTTTAAACAGTAATGGAGTTTATGAATTCAACTGGAAGCAGCTTTGTAGTCCTTCCAATCTGGTGGCAGGAGGCAGTGAAAAGGTGTATCAATGATCTCTAAAACCCCTTTTAATAAGGATTACTACTAGAGCAGAGAGCTGTCTGGCTGCTGCTCTTGATGATTTTGTAATTGTTGTCAAAGTCTATATTTCAACTATGTGGTTTAAGTTGCTTCTTATTCAATTAGTGATAATTTGTGTAATATGCAAGTTGTCTAAGTAAGAGTTTGAAACATCGCTGTGTTTTAACACTTAATAACCCCTACTGTTAGAGGGGAATGAGATTTTGTAACCTGTGTTCATGTTCCTAGCATGCTTGTAGTATAATTTTGAATGGCTTTAGTATTTGTCTTCTTAGGAAGAAATGCTGAAAGTTGTGATTCAGAATTGAACTTGTCTTAAATTGTTACGCTGAAATTATATCAAAAAATCTGGTGAGTAGGTATTTATGGATTATATTGTATATCATCAGAAATACTAGCATTTGTTCAGGGAATTTAGTACTGTACAAGACAACAGAGAAGTTCTGATTTAGAGAAGACTTCATGGACGCAGAATTTTCTCAAAGGTTCCAGTTCTATGAGTTATCATGTTGTCTATACTGAGACTAGCCTTCTGTTGGAATATTGGTAGAAGTGTTTAAAATCTCTACAATTCCTTATGAGAGGTTTGCTTTGGGCCATCAGTTGTATTCTGAAATAAATGGGTTTCATGTCCTTAGTCTTGTATGGGAAATGCAAGATTTGGAGTTAGTGGATTTCTATTGTTGGTAGTGGTGGTGGGGCTTTGTGTTTTTTTAGCCAGAGCAGCTATCTCTTTATTCGTAGGGATTATCAGAAGTTTTTCTACTTAGTGTCTGGAACAAGAGTGTAAATACTTTTCTTTTTCTTTCTCTTTTCCTTTTTTTTTTTTTTTTTTTTTTTTTTTTTTTTTTTTTTTTTAAACCTCAGATCTTTGTGGAATTTGATGGCTGTAACTGGAAGCAACATGCCTGGGTGAAAGTCCATGCTGAAGAAGTTATAGTATTGTTGCTGGAAGGGTCCTTGGTTTGGGCACCTCGAAGTGAACCAGTTATGCTTCAAGGGACTCGAATCTCTCCAACGCAGTGGCCAGCACTGGTAGGTATTTGGCCATAAGTCTTCRTGTGCTCCAAGATTCTTACCACCAGCTCTACTTAGAAACATAAGACTTTGAAACCCGAAAGGCCACCATTATGCAGGTATCAAAAGTAGCTTGTGGATAGGTTTTCTTTTGATTGGTAAATAGGAGAGCAGGGAACTGCAAGTTGCAGTGTTGAGTCTCTGAAGAAAATGTGGTATGTACCTGGAAAGATTTAATTATTTCAGAACCTATTGGCAGACTGTTGGAAGCAAATACAGACTCATTCTGACTAGAGTATTTCCATGAAAGCTTGAGCTGTTTCTGTAGACTTGTTGAAAAGTGTTTCCATCCTGAATAGTCTGAGAAGCCATCTGAGTGCTCAAACTTTCAAATTCTTCAGCCCTACTCAGGTAACTGCATGGGAATACTGATTGGGTTAGCCAAAGAAGCAGGAGTGCATGTATAAAGTGTGAACAATTCTGAGAAAAGACCTGTTTGCCATTATGAAGATGTCTGTTTTTTGAGATATCTCTGTGTTCTTTCTGCTTATTGCTCCTATTGCCTCTTTCTTAAAGTCTTGGTCAGCTGGTAGGAGATCCAGTTTTAGATGAACTAAGAACATAAATGTGCGATACCATTTTTATTTGTATAGACAGATACAGGAGAGTGGGGTGCAAACCAGCTTTGTGAGAGCTCTTTGGGCAAAACTGTCGTATATACTTGTGTGTTAAAAAGTTGTTAGTAGGAGCATGAGATACATAAATTAAATTTCAAAGGCTCCAGTCTTCTCCATCAGCAGCTTATAATTCCGACTCTGCTAGGCATTTTTTCGTGAGTAATTTGTTCTTTATAAGGCAGAATTATTTGGATGTCGATAGTAAATATGATATAGATTTTAATTTTGCATAGAACAATAATATCAAAAATGCTTCCTCTTATTAACATGCCTGTAGTGATGTTTATTTCTGTATAGAATTCAGATGTAAAGGTGGACCTTTCAGAAGATCATATAAATTATTCTAAACAATACTTTTTAGTATTAACTAAGTATCAGAGGATCCTTACTCTACAAAAATCAAATACTATAAGAGGTATTTTTCAGTGCTGCCTTAAGTTCTAAAAAAGGTGTGAAGTCAATATTCTGTAATATTCCTTTTTCTGTTATAGAATACCATACCTGTAGGAGGTATCGGCTTAGACATAATGAGTCACGATTTGTCTTAAAACTCATGGGCTTGGGAAGTTCAAGCTGAGAAATTAAATTTTTTATTGTTTGTTATACTTGAATAGCATGTGAAAACAACTCTTTTTGATCTGTATATGTACTCTTACATATATGTAACTTTAACTGTTGTTGTTCATCCCAGACCTTCACTCCTCTAGTAGATAAGCTGGGTTTAGGCTCTGTGGTCCCAGTGGAGTTTCTCCTGGACAGACATCTACGTTTCCTGTCTGATGCCAGTGGATTACGCTTGTTTCAGGTACTTGAAATATGTTCAAGTATAGCACAAATTTAGCTTCAGGCTGTACTTGTCAGATTTTAATGTTCCATTTTCATATTCTTGTCTTCTACCTTCCACTGTCCTAGGCATTGTGATTTGTCCTCTCGCTTTTAAAGAGACTTTCACTAACTTCCATTATCATTAAAAGTATTCTAGTTCTTATTTCATATCAGGCAGCTGGAGAATTAGTTGCTGAGTATTGTGGAGCCCATAATTGCAATTGAAACAGTTCCATGACTGCTTTTGCATGGCTAGATAGTCCATATTTCCCTCTTAACATGCCTAGCAATGTTTCCTTATTCTTTTGGTTTGTGTCTCTCTGAGAGCGGTCCAGGAGGAGCTGTAACTCAAAAACGAATTATTCTGTTACTTTAAAAGACTCTACTTTTATGTTAAAGATTTCTTTCTTTGTAGATGGGAACAGAGAGTCAAAATCAGATTCTGCAGGAACAGGCTGCACTAAGAGAATCTGTCAATGCCTTGATCAGCGACCAGAAGCTTCAAGAGATATTTAGTAGAGGTAAGAGTAACTGTTTTTTCCGTTCCAGAACTTTTGACTGTTGTGAAACTTCTGAATTATGCTKGGTTTTATGAAGGAGAACAGTGACAGAAATTTTTACAATTTTCCTGGGAAGATCAGCTTTCTGTATTCTTTCAGAAGTTCTTCACAAGAAGCACTGTTTCATAACAGATACTGAAAAGTAGATAAAGGATGAAAACATACAAGTGACCATGCTTGTGTATTTGTAACTTTCTTCCTTTTAAGTCTTGTAACTTCCAATTTTTTAAAGCATCATCTGATCTTATATTTTGGGAAATTCGGTACAGAGCTTTAAAAACAGAGGATTTGTTTTGTTGGCACAATTGTAAATTTTGGTTCTTTGACAATTAATGTAGTAATTGTTTAGGTGGGACCATGGATACTGAGCACAATGTTAGTACCCAGACTGTTACTGGATTGCTTTGTTCTAAGCCTTGTTTATTTCATGGTGTGAAATGATTATCAATTCAGAACTTGGATTCAGAGGTCTCATGGCCTCCCTAGAGGCAGGCATTGACATACATTTGAAAGGGGCATATTTTCTAATGGATACTTGGTGCTTTTTGATTTAAGAAAATATTTACTGATATGACTAATATGAAGAGGACAGTTCTTAAGCAGCCATATAACTTCAGAATTGTCCAGTGTAGGACAATTCTCCTGAAGCCCCTGTCAGTGATTTAATCAGGTACATGGTTATTGATTTGCGTGGATCTTGGTAATCTAATATTAATTTTTTTTATCTGGAGTTAAGGCAAGAGGAAGACTGTGTGCTGATGTGGAGACCAGGGGTGTGTTAGAGGCAACCTTTCAGTAGCTTATTTTGATCTTTTATTCAGTTTGCAAATAAAATAAAATGTGAATTTCATCTTTGTAATGTCTTTGAGTTACAGTTAAAAAGGATTGCTAGCTCTTTACAGTAGAATACATGGCTTGTGCAGGATTTGCAGCGGATGCCCCCACTGAGAACCTGTTGCTTTAGGTTCTAATTGAATGCACCAAAGTCTTTTTATTATATGACCCTCAATTGGTGTGACACAAAGCTTGTCTGAAATTACACTTAGAACACTTCTTTTCCAGGTCCTTACAGTGTCCAAGGCCAAAGAGTTAAAGTTTACCAGCCAGAGGATGAAAATAGCTGGCTGGGTGGTGTTGTGAGCCATCAAGACCCAATAACTCGTCTTATGGAGGTGTCTATAACTGAGGTAAAAAAAAAAATAATAATTAAAAAAAAAAGGGGGGTGGGGGGGAGGCAGTACTGTGGGTTTTCTAAAACACAGCTTCTCAGTATTCCATGAAGAGTATCAGCTTCACCAAAGCTTGAAAATTGGTTCTTAGTTCATTGCTTTAAAGATATGCAGTTATTCACTTCATGTTCTGATGAAAAAAGCCCTTTGCCATTATGATGCCTTTACATAAAAAAATGATGATGCAACTCACTTCATCAGAAGAGGCAATAAGAAAGCCTTTGAAAATGGGTTCTTTGTAGGRAAAAATTAAAGTAGCTTTCTGGATGGGAAGTGTTCTCGTGAACAGAAAACTGCTTTTAGAGTCTCTCATGCTATGGTCTATATATGCTTTCTCTTAGCTTCTGTCTGATGGGCTTTACAGTTGGTTTGAAACAAATGTATGGTAGAATACAAAATTTGAGTCTAAAGTGAAAAGATTGATTATTTTAGCTTAGGCTCTTTGCCTTTTTTTTAGGCTTTTTTTGCTTTTCCATTAAAGATAAGTACAGTACAAATATATGCTGAAACAACGGATGGAATCAAGCTGAAAGCTAATGAAATAGAGAAAGTGCAAAAGTATTAGTAATTAAACTTGATAAAGTGAAAGACTTTACAGAGGGCAGAGGAAGAAAAACCAAATGGTAGAGGGGCTACAGGGTGACCTTGTGTTAAGGGTTTCTGTTGATACTCTACTTGCTGACTGAATCTTTCTTTCTTTCTTTCCTCCTTAATGTCAATCTGCATAAAAATCAGAGTGGTGAAATAAAGTCAGTGGATCCTCGACTGATACATGTCGTGATGGATAACTCTTCTCCAAATGAGGTGCTACAGCAATTCAAGTCTCTGTATATACATTGTGGAACTTCATAAAAGTCAAATGTTTTAGATGGGAAGAGCTGAAAACTCATGCCGCATTCATGGACTGAAATTAAAAAAGGAAAATTTTCTTTGCCACCATTGACAGATGGCTATAGCTTTCTTTAAATAATCCATATTTCTGCTAGTTGAGCATTATCTTACTCAATTCAGCTTAGATCTTGGTGGATTTCTGGTATTCAAGGTTGTGCTCCATTTTAAAAGATAGTGCTCTGATAAGGGTTTTCCATTGTTGTGTTCTTGTTACAGCATCATTGTTTTGTACTTCTCCATGCATCATTTTTAAAGGATGCTGTCCTTTAGAAGGCATTTCTAAAAAGAGGGCCTATCTAAAYAATATTTGGCTTCTCTGAGGCAGGCTGTATACTAGTGGCATTTTAAGAGAATATTAGGTTTGTTTGTTTGCCATAGACTACAAGATATGCTATTGTCTGCAGTTAAATACTGGAGATTCTAGGTAGTAGACAAAAAATGTGCGCTTCTGAAAAACTATGAGGGTTAGACTTGTACTATAAGTAGTCTGCAGATAGTTTTCGTACATTAGCAAAAACTACTATGAAATATGGCTGCATGTTTCCAAAAATCTGCTATGATAAGGTATGTGCTGTAGCAAAGTAGCTCATTTAAGTAGCTTGTTATGGAGATACTGCCTGGTATGTTAGATTTGTCAAATTGTATTTAAAAAATGTTTCTCAACTTAGAGCCGTTTAATTGCTAATGAAGAAAATGTTGTTTGAAGTGGGAATGAGGTAGACATGTCTGTTCTGTGTAGTAATTTCATGGCTTTGTCTTTTGTAGGGAGGGGCTCTTAAGGCAGCTAAATCATCCAAAGGGAAAAAGAAGAAAGAGTGTCTGGAGGGAAAGGATGGACGAAGGAGGAAAAATGCTTCAGATTCTGGATGTGATCCTGCAACGAAGAAGCTAAAGGAGAGGGGTGAGACAGATAGCAATAGTAGCGATGGAGGTGAGGCGAGCAGAGGTCCTTGGAAAGGAGGCTCCAATAGTGAAAAAGGACTGGATCCAAGGGCCAAACAGTTGCCTTCATTCATTCCTCAGATTAATCGCAATATTCGCTTTGCCACTTACACCAAAGAGAATGGCCGAACACTAGTAGTCCAAGATGAGCCGGTTGGAGACGCGCCAGTATCCTTCACTCCATTTTCCTCTGTGGCTGGGCCAGCATTGTTAGTTGGATCTGGATGTAAAGACGTGGGAAAATCACTGGAGCAGGTCAGCCAAAGCACAGTGACTTCTGCGACAGCAGTTACAACAACTTCTTTGACACTGACAACTGTAAGGATCTCTGATAACAGCATGTCAGCAGTTACTGGGCAGGAGAAACTGAAAACTAGCCGAATCCCAACTCAGGGAGAGGTGAGTAGCTCGCAATCCAGCATATAGGGGAGAAAAAACATGTATTTGCAACATACCCTTTGTGATACATTCCTATTAAAAAAGTGTGTTAATAGGACAAGGAAAACTCTTTCTCTGATGAATCCCTTCCTCCTCACCCCACTGAGATAAGAACCCTTCTGTTACCTGATCCAAAGAAGGTGAGAGAAAAAGATGCTGTTTGACAAAGGAATTCTGAGACAGCTTTTTATCACTCTTTATTGAACCATAATTTGAGAAATTCAATTTCTTGCACAGTGCAGCCTTAAAGTTACTAAGTACTGCATTATTGTAATTAATTTGATAGTGTCACATGGAAGATAATGATCTTAATGTTTCTTACCTTATCTCAAGAGATGAGCATAAGAATATGCAACAAATTGAACACTTAATTAAAAAAAAGAAGAAAACAGGACCTAGTTTGAGAACCTTTTACAGATGCCCAACTCATCTTGAGAATATGTTATATGTGCATATTAGAAAAAAAGAGAAAACCAATCGCATCATTCACTAAGACTGAAAACAAAGAGAATTGAAATATTTGAGATAAGTACCTGCAGAAGCAACTTGAATAAAGAGCCATGTCCAGAAGCAAATTGAGTATCTTCTAGGCAGATATCATTGTTTTCAAGGGGAAAACGAGAAATGTAGAGGAGAAATCTGGTTAAACAAAGCAGAACTTTTTAAGTAACCAAAATGAAGACTTAGTTCAAAAAACAAACAAAACCCTCAGTGCTTTTAAGAGTAAAGCAAAAATTAAGAAATTTGTGACTTATTGTATAAATATCACGGAATAATTAAGATTGGAACAAAACTCTGGAGACCATCTGGTCCAACTCCCCTGCACAAGCAGGGTCACCTTCAGCACCTTGCACAGAATCACATCCAGGCAGATTTTGCATGTTTCTGGAGAAGGAGACTCCACATCCTCTCTGGGCAACCTGTTCCAGTCTTTTGTCACCCTTGGTCAATAAATTTATCCCAAATTCAGGTYGAATTTGGTGCTTTAGTTTGTGGACATTGCCTCTTGTCCTAAAATAGGAAAGTGGGAGATATATTAGAGATTCCAGAGAAATTGCCAGGATATTAAATAAATTATTTACATGATTGTCTTTTGTATTTGTCTAATGGAAGAGTGGAAGAAGTGAGATGTTTACCATGGGGAAAAAAAAATACTAGATAGTAATTGAAAGGAAAAACAAAATTGTAGAAAGCAAGAGGGCTTTCTGTAACTGATACTCCAGAAAGAACCGGAGTTTAAGAGTTAGAGAGCAGCTAGATATTATATATCTGAATGGTCAACATTATTTGTGGTACTAAGGAAGAACTCCTCAGCTGCGCTGAGCTGTTTTGACACTACCTTTCATTCCTCTCGCCAACCCCAACTTACTTGTTTTAAATCACTATTAATACTCTGGTCTCAGAATTTCCAGATAGAACACTGATTCAGAAACTAGCACCATTTGAAGCAGTATTTTTCCACAGTTGGGAAAGGGCAATAGTACTGATGAAAAAGCCTTATTTAAGAAGAAAATGGAGATGGTTCACAGATGGTTTCAGGCTATCCACTTTTATCCACTTGTTACAGTGATGGATCTAGTGGAAATGTGAAAATAAGAAAATGCTTCCATATGTAAAGAACACTGCAATTAAGACTTTTGTGCTTAACCTCTTCTGAGTAATCCCCTCAAAGGCACCTCTTCATAGGCATCGGCCTGTCAGCAGATGCGGTTTGTGTTGATCAGGAGCAGTCTGTTTGCTAAGTGCTTTAAGTCCTTTTCTTTATTTAATTACATTTACAAACTAAGTTAATTTCCCTAAGTGTGCTCGCTAGATAAGAGAAGATAATCAGAGTGATGCTGGGGGAGGGGGAAAAGAAGGGAGATTGTTGAAAAGCAGTTTGAATTAAGGTTCCTTTCTTGTAGATTTGAATTAAAGCAATCAGTATGTTGTCACTGATGTATATATGAGACTGACTGTCTTGTCTAATAGTGCATATTTGCTCTTGAATGTGATAAGGCATCAAATGTTGGTGTTCTGCATGTGTCTTCCATGTATAAGAGACATTGTTACTTACTAGTTGGATAGCTTGTAAGTTGAAGGAATTAAGCTAATGGAAACTTCAGAGGAAGTTTCTTCAGTGTGAATATTTCTGCTGAGTTTCTGTTATAAGTAGACTAGTAATGTTAATGTATACTTAGATGAATCAGAGTGTTGTTGAATCAAAGAAGAATCTTTTAATTGGCCATTGCTTTTTAATTTTGTTTCAGAATTCCCGAAACTCACTTTTGGCTTCCTCTGCGTTTGGAGTCTCTCCCCCAAGCGCTTCTCAGGCATCAGGCTTTGGGAATGGGAGGAGCCAATCAAATGGAGTGGTGACTCCAGAGAGCAAGCCTTCTGGATTTGCCTTTGGTTGTAGCACTGGACAAGAGACTCAGAAAGATTCTGATCTGTCCAAAAACTTGTTTTTTCAATGCATGTCCCAAAATCTACCTTCCAGTAACTACTTCACAGCGATTTCAGAGAGTTTGGCAGAAGATGCCTCTACTCGGGATCCATTCAAGCAATGTACAGAGAACATGGTTCCTGGTATCTGTAAAGGTAAAATTGTTCTTTCAACGGACACTAAAGCTGGAACCCAGTCTGGCAGTTCTGTGGAACGGAAGCTGCCACTGGAATCTATGCCAACCCTCACGCCAGCCTTTCCCCGAAGCCTTTTGAATACTCGGCCCCCAGATARTCATGAAAACCTGTTTTTACAGCCCCCAAAGCTATCCAGAGAGGAGCCTTCAAATCCATTCCTGGCATTTGCTGAGAAAGCAGAACTTAATCCTTTCAGCAGCTTTGCATCTTCATCTCAGACAGGGGTTTCTATTCCCTCTACACCTGCGGGTCCTAAGGCCACTTCTGGCTGGCCAGAATCACTCACCTCTGCAGACTCTTCTCTAAATAAGAAGAAAACATTGTTTATAACGACTGATTCCTCAAAGATGGTTTCCAGTACTCCAGGTTCAAAGATTACTGCTGGTGTTCAGAGCCCTTCCACTATGGGGAATGGCCGCTCCAACTCACCGACCAGCAGTCTGACACAGCCTATTGAGATGCCTACGCTTTCCTCCAGCCCAACAGAAGAAAAGCCATCTGTTGGGCCTGGTCAGCAGGACAATCCTCTTCTGAAAACTTTTTCCAGTGTGTTTGGCAGGCATCCATCTGGCTTTTTCTCTTCACAGACAGAGTTTCCACAGGAGAACAAAGCCCCATTTGAAGCTGTGAAAAGGTTCTCTCTAGATGAGCGGGGCTTGACATCCAAACAAGACTCAGACTCTAGTACCAATAGTGACCTGTCAGATTTGAGTGACTCTGAAGAGCAGCTCCAGGCCAAGGCTTGTATAAAGGGAATCCCAGAACACTTGATGGCAAAGCTGGGCCCCAGTGCAGAACACAGTGCTGAATTGCTGCTGGGAAAAGGGAAAGGGAAGCAAGCCCCAAAGGGCCGACCTCGCACAGCTCCCTTAAAAGGTAGTGGCTTCAGTGAGAGGTGTCTTAGAAAGAAGGAGGGATGGGATGCTTGTATGGTAACTTTCTCTATGGAAAACTACATACTACTTCTGTCTACGTGTATGTATTTTGGGACAGAGCTGGTATATGACGGACTTGAAAATATAAAAATTTTCTTGTAGGTTTGTTAAGTTTACTGCTGTTTAAGTGTTAACTAAAAGTACCTAGTTAATCGCCACTGACTTGATATGAGTGGGCTCTGGGTGAYGTCCAGCGTAGCTGATTCCTACGCCGAGTCTGAGAAGAAACAACAGTGGTTCTGTAGTTTTTTGCGTAGCTCTAATGTAAACAGATAGCCCTACATTTTACAAGGTTTTTGTTTGTTTTTTCTCATATAACCATTGTTTCAGTAGCATATGACAGACAGGTAAAAATGTTTGTGTAAGTGAATGGGCTTAATGGGCTGATATGGGTGTAAGTATGTTGTGTTTTTTTTGTTGTTGTTGGATTTTTGTTTTGTTTTAATGGAAATATATTTTTCAAGGTCTTTGAAAATATTTTTTTGGGCCAGCTAACTAATGAGCTTGTGCTTCTTCTCTCTTGTCCCACCCAGTTGGTCAGTCTGTGTTAAAAGATATGAGCAAGGTGAGGAAGCTTAARCAGTCAGGAGAGCCTTTCCTCCAGGATGGCTCTTGCATCAATGTGGCCCCACATCTGCACAAGTGCCGGGAGTGCCGTCTGGAGCGGTACCGCAAGTTTAAGGAACAAGAACAGGATGATTCAACTGTGGCCTGTCGCTTCTTCCATTTCCGGAGGTGCTCAAATCCTTCCTTTCTTCATGTATAGTCTGTGTGCAGAGTGTGGACTTTGTCCAAGCACAAGTTCTGTTTTATTTATTTTCTTTGATATAATAATAAAGCTCTTGAGTGTCTTCCATTTTCCATCATCTGACTAGAGTTCCCTCGCTGGGTGGCAGAGATGGGGAAAGAACTCCTATTGGGAGATGTACCTCCCAGTTGAAGCAATTCGGACTCTTAAGCTGTGTGGATGCTAAGGGAAACTCCAGGTCTCTTAGGAGATTGAATTGCTTTATTGAGTAGGACTTTACTGTTGGGTAGCAGTTTTTACTGCAGTAACTGTTCTCTCCATTCTTCAAAAGAAATTCAGAACAAAGAAAACTCTAATTCAATTACCAAGTAACTGGACATTGCCAGTATGAGGCTAATGTTTGACTAAGTTTTGAAATTGGACTGTAGAACTGATTTCTAGGAATAGAATGCTATCTTTATTTCTCCCCGTGATGCATATAAGTCATAAAGTTCTTTGACCTTTTCTATTCCTCTTGATGATCTTTACCTTGCTAGCCTAACAAGTACAAAGCATCATACGAAAAAAAGATACTGATTCACTTTTTGACACTTGAAGGGGGAAGTGAATCTTTATCAGTTTGATGGTACATGCTGAAGATTTTAACTACTTCACCATTTGAGCTTGCTATTAAAAAATAGTCTGATGCTGTGGTTAAAGACAAGATTGCTTTTCGTGGAAAACCAAGTTACTTTTAATAGTGGCAATAGGAATCAGGTTCTGGTAACCTGTGTTGTTACACTTTTTACTGCACAAACACTGGGAGAGTCAGCAACTACTGATAAAACAGTTAAGTCATCTGTGTGGGGAGCAGTAGCTAGAACAGTAGATATGATAAAAAAAAATTGTGTGTTTTGTAACATGAACTGTTTGAACAGTTGTCACATGCCAGCAGGAGCAGTAGCAAGAAGTAAAATATTTTGTTTCAGAAACCTGGGGGTGATCTTTTGAGTTAAAATAGACCATGAACAAATTTATGAACAATGTGGATTAGCAGACCGAATAAATTGAATTTTATCATCTTATCATGTTAATAGTGTATTAAAAATATATATATATATATATATAGCAACCCCACGTCTGTAGGATTCCCCAGTAATGCTTACTGGGACCTGGGTGTTCATTCTTACAGTTTTGCCTGCTATTGCCTTTTATTCACTGCTTTATTTGGCTTTATATGTTTATTGTATTGGCTATAGAATATAGCTGTGCATCTCAAGCCTTTCTTACCTTGACATATGGCATTATTAGTTAAAGGCTGATGAACGGCTTATTCATTACTTTATTCTGTTTTTTTTTTTGCAGACTGATATTTACCCGGAAAGGTATCCTGCGAGTAGAGGGATTTTTGAACCCACAGCAAAGTGACTCTGATGCCATGAGTCTGTGGATTCCTTCTTCCTCTCCTGCAGAGGGGATTGATCTGGAGACTTCAAAATATATTCTAGCAAATGTTGGGGACCAGTTCTGCCAGCTTGTTATGTCAGAGAAGGAGGCAATGATGATGGTGGAGCCACATCGTAAGCTGTTGTTTCGTTTTGTTTTCTGCCCCTTCCCCAAAGAGAAGGATCTGTTTTCTTCATTAGGATATGTGTAATTGTGGGGCCAGCATTTGGGATGTCTCATTTGAGTCAACGCAACATTTCTACTAAAGGAGCTAATGATAAATTTCTCAGACATTATTTTTTTCTGTAATAAAATGCAGAAATTGGCTGACTCATGCTCCTAAGAAGATAGAAATGAGTCCAGAACACTTATCACACTGACCAGCTTTGCTTTAATGGGCGGTTTTTCTTATATATTCCTATCCTGTTATGCTCCAGGGACATCACGTCAAAAACACAGGATTTTCTAGGGAGGGAGCAGAGCCTGCTTTCAGCCTGCAAGGACTCAGCTGAGCAACTAGTTGACAGTGTTGCCACTACAAGGGAAGTGGGTTTGGAACAAATTTTCTCAAGGTAGCCAGTCCAGCCTATCACACAATGGCTCTGATTATCTGATTTTTTCCCCTCCCTCTTTAACTTCTGGAATGCACAAGGGCAGCCAACTGGGGAGGGCTTCCTCTTCCATGCCTGTTGTGTTGGAGTTTGGAGTTCATAGCATTGGCAGGGCTCTGATTAATAAAATCAAATATTCATACTTTATAGTTCTGTATGTTTTCAGTATCTGCACATAGAACTAGCAGAAGCTTTATGATCTTATTGTAGTTTCCTTAAGTGCTCCTTAAAATTCAGTTACAGCAATTGTTAGGTGTCCCATATCCTTGTCTTGGGGCGTGTTTTAGGAGTTGACTTTACTACCTTCTCTTTGAAATAGTCTTTGGAAGTGTCACAAGACAAGTAACTCAAGGAATGTGCCTGTTTCTATGTTTCCCCTTCAAATAGCCTTGTTTCTGTGTGGGTTTTTTTTTTTTTCCTAATGTTATTATGYTATTCCCAAATTAGAAAGGAAAAATACAAAATGTCAAAGCAGTAATTTCTAACATTCTTCCTGTTTGTAGAGAAAGTGGCATGGAAGAGAGCAGTACGTGGTGTGAGGGAAATGTGTGATGTATGTGAGACAACACTCTTTAATATTCATTGGGTTTGTCGTAAGTGTGGCTTCGGAGTCTGTCTGGACTGTTACCGGCTGAGAAAGAATCGTCCGCGTAGTGGTGAGTATTGGAGTTTCTCTCTATAATGTTTGAACCATCTAGCTTTCAGTGGGAATAGTTTCTGTGAAATTGCTGAAGTTTTGCAGAATTAGTGAGTATTAGCATGGGAAATTGATAGTTCGGTAGTTTGTTAGCTGTCTTGCTGTTCCTTTCTTCTGCTCCTTAGATAACTGTATTTTATCTATGTAGTTAAAACTTCTATATATTGAAACTGTAACATCAACAGACAAAGGTTGTGTGCTGTGAGAGACTGCTGTGTAGTTCCATTTTTAGTGAAAAGATACAGAAGAGTGATACCTTACCTGTTCTAAATGACCCCTATGAGCTGTGTAAGTAGAGCTGATTACAGGAGAGTTTAGTTGCTTTTTTCTTAAACTGATTTGCAGATACTCCATGAAAAAGCTTGGAAGATGATGACAAGTTAGCTAATGTTATTCTATAATTCAGGAAAGCGTAAGATATTGAGACTATGATCTTAACAGTAGAGTTTAAAAGCTAAGTTTTGGGGCACTAGAAAACTGGGAGCTCCTGATGATGAGGGGAAAATAATTATGGTAATTCATAATCTGGAGCAGTAAGAAAATTGCTTGAGATCCTGTTGTGATAGTATCTGTTTATATTTTATTTCTGAACTTGCCAAAATAGTAGATTCATCTGATCACCTAAAGAAAAAATACTGATGTGGAAGCTTTATTTAGAATTGTTATTCCTTTGTGACTTTCATAAAAAATTTAATGTCTTTATTTCAGAGACAGAGGAGATAGGTGATGAGGAAGTGTTCTCCTGGCTGAAATGTGCAAAGGGGCAGTCTCATGAACCAGAGAATCTTATGCCAACACAAATCATTCCTGGCACAGGTAATGCTTGAAACCTGAAGGGACCAATTCTAAATTTCATCCTAGTTTTAAGAAAGCAAATGAAAAAATAATACTGTGGTTGGTGTTCTAGCTGGTGTTTTATCTATCATGGCTGTGAAAGAGGAAGCGGAGGAGGCTTCCCTTTGCTACTGCAAAAGGGCTGAAGAGCGAGTAGCCCTCATGAGATTCAGCTGCCGATTGAAGGTGAACTGCCCATCTGGTAGCAGCAATGACTGCTTTTGCTCTGTTTTAAATAGAGTTCATTAAAATTCATTAATTTTCAAGAAGAGTCATTTTATTTTCCTGCAGGAGAGAAAAATAGTTGGTCAGTGGTGGAAATTCTCACAATTGATTCTGAAAATTACTGCATAGTTTTGCACTATTTAGGGATAAATGTGTGGTGTTACAAGACTTGGATCTTAAAGGCAGTTAGCATTAATAATTAGAAAAATAGATCTCTATGTAGTAATTAAGATCTTGTTTTAGGTTTCTTTACATGTGATGTTAAAGATTTTTATCTTTATTTCTAGCCCTTTACAATATTGGAGACATGGTTCATGCAGCACGTGGCAAATGGGGTATTAAAGCGAACTGTCCTTGTATTAACCGGCAGAACAAATCAGTGTTGAGACCTGCTGTCACTAATGGAATATCACAGGTATTCCCTTGACTCGCATACATTTTAAATAGATAATAAAATGCTAAGATTTTCAATATCAATCTATCATAAAACATGGACTTCATTTTGTCAGTATGTATTGCTGAGTATTTTTGCTAAGCCAAAATCTTTTGGGATGTTTTGGCTAGCAATAGGAAATTGCCAGGACTATGTGATATAACTGTTACTCCCTAGGAGATATTTGGGCTAAAAAAATCTCTTTCTTATGTAGATTTTCAGGTATAAAATATTCCTATCTACGACATAACTTAAAAAAAGACCTTGCTCACAAATCCCTTTTTTTTTTTTTAAGAAGGCAAAAACAAAACAAACGCTCCTTTGCAAAGGAACTGAAAAGCCTATATTTGTCTTGAGAAATGCCAAAGCAATCCCTGGTAAAAAAATAACCCTATAGTGGGGTGGTTTGAGATATACAGATCCTAAATTCCTGCACTGTCATGATACATGGACACAATGTATCACAAAGGAACTTTTCTGTGAATTAAAGGAGATGGAAATATGGGGATGAGTAAGGTGTTTTCTGGTTCACCTCTTCCCTTTGTTCATCGTTTAACAGATGCTTATATTTTTGTTTTAGCTTCCGAGTATAAATCCTAGTGCACCAGTCTCTGGAAATGAAAGCACTTTTTCCACTGGAGCAGGGACAACAGGACTGGGGCAGCTGGAAACGGACACTGTTGCAAAATCTGAGGCAACTGATGGTAGGATAGAAGAGTCTGCAAAAACAGAAACGTTACCAGCCAGTAACACTGGTGAAACAAAGACCAACAGACCCCTTTGTCCAGAAACAGCCCCATCATCAGCCTTGCACTGGCTTGCAGACTTAGCAACACAAAAAGCAAAAGAAGAGACAAAAGGTGAGCAGATGACCTGCTTTCTGCTGCTTGGTTGCTACGTTTTATGAGAGTGTCTAGCCTTAAATAGAAAAACACATGGTCTCTTCATTTACCTCTTCAAAACTTTTACTTTAATAGGCCTAAATATATTGAGTACCAAAAAGATGATGAAATAGTGTACAAATGCAGATTAGAACAGTGTCTTGTCACTTCCAGTTTATTTCAGTACCCATTCTTATATTATTTCCAAAGTTTTCAGCAGCAAGTACCCTGAGGTTTATACTTCAGTGAATATTCATTTCAAATGCAGTTTTGTCACGTTATGAACTAAAGAAGTTAATAAAAGCTGTTCTGTGTGAAAATGAAAACAGTGCATATCCTCAGACTTCRGAGATTAGAGTCTACGTGGAGAACGAAATGAAAGCTTAGAGTGTCTTTAGTACTTAGACTGAGAAAGTCATTCCCAGTATGAAATAACATTTTACAGAGTATGCTGCTCTGTTGTCAGAGGCAGCACAGCTAACACAACGTTTATTCCTGTCTGAATTGTATTTATCAGGAATTCTTTTGCATGCCCGTGTAAGTGTTCATAACTTTTAAGGGCATAACTGCTGTATTTTTTTTATTTCATTTAAACCACCTGAAATATTTCATGCTGTAACATTAATTTAGACAATGAAGGAAATGTTTGAAATAGACTCAGTCACCAACACTTGTGTGTCAAACACTGCAATTCAGATAATTTGATATACTTTTTTAAAATTACATTTTACCCTTAGCTTGCTGTTAACGTATCTGAAGTATATGGTGTGTTTGTGTTTTTCTGTTTAGATGCCCCATTCATTGTTGTGATAATTTACATTTACCACAAGATTCTCTTGGTGTCATATTTAATATAAGAACAAATTATTTTACAGAACTTTGATCATTTGAGTGTGCTTTTTTTTTCAAGTTATCATGATATCTTTCTTGCAGAAACAGGATCACTGAGGTCAGTGCTTAATAAAGAGTCCCATTCACCCTTTGGATTGGATTCCTTCAACTCCAGTACAAAGGTTTCCCCACTAACCCCAAAGTTGTTCAATAGCTTATTGTTGGGTCCAGTGACATCTAGCAACAAAGCTGAAGGCTCCAGCCTTAGAGATCTGCTACACACTGGGCCAGGAAAGCTTCCTCAGGTCCCGTTAGACACAGGAATCCCCTTTCCTCCTGTCTTTTCTGCAGCTTCCACAGTAAGTCATTTTGAATTTATTTGGGAAAGAATCTTATTATCTTAACATTTTTCATCAAAATTGTTAATAGTATTTTCAAATGTTAAATATATATGCTAATTAATGCTAAATATGCAATTTTTAGCCAGCTGCCATACATCCTGTCTCCCTGCTGTTCCCACTCCTGCTAAATTACAGAGTATTTTTGCATTGTAGTTTGATTTTACTACTGCTTTGGAGATATCTTTCTTCCAAGAGACCAGGAAAAATAGTTATATAACCTTTTCATTGATAATTGACGTCCCTATAAAACTCACTTCAAATTCCATGTCTTTAAATATGTTATGTATCCTAAATGAGACAAAAGCTTGTGAGTATGTAAATCCCTAAAAATCTTAGATATATTTCAAAGGTCTTTAGGATGGGATATGAATTCAGGAAACTAGGGGGGATGCTTATTCTCATATATGGAAACTTCATTTCTCTTTAATCTTTTTATCAGGAAATAATGTTAAAAAAAAATCAAGGGGTATCCAAAATGCTCAGAAATAGTTGATTCAAAAGAAGAGTAGAAGCTCAGAAATTTATCAAGGTTTTAAGTATTTTTTTGGAGATTTTTTTGGAGAATATTTGCTCCAAAAGCTCAGATGGGCAGAATGAGAATGACAATGACAGTCTCTGCATCAGTCTGTAAGGTTGAAATCATAATAATAGTTCAAGTTGTTTTCTGTTGCTAAAGAGAATTTAAGCTATAAGGAAAAATAGGTTATTACTACAGGAAGATGAATCCAATATGTTTTTTGGGKTTTTTTTTGCTTTTTTTTCCCCCTCTCCTCTCATTGCTGAGTATAGGCCAAATGTTGTGATTACATAGCTTAAAGCAAGGGTTCTTTCCAGATAAGAGAACCTGTGTCAACCTGTAACTTTTTTATTATTATTGTATTTTATTTTAAATTTCTTTACCTTTGTTCTTTCATAGAAGAGGTATAGTTAAGGTCTAGTTCATATCTATGAGGAATATGGCAGTTGTTAATGCTAATCTGGGGTTCCTCAGGAAAGCAAGCAGAACTTGAATCAATATTGCAGCAGTGAAGGCAAAGTGGGTCCAGAGCTGTAAAAGGAAGAGTACAGCTAACAGGTCAAGGAACAGGATTGTTTCACTCAACACTTGTTCTGGAAAAACCTGGAATACTGTTTCTGATTTTATTCCCTAAGTTCAATAGACATTGGAAAATTGAGTGAATCTTACAAAGGACTGTCAAATCATTGAAGTGTTGGAGAGCTTCGCATGAATAAAGGTTGAAGGCATTGATTTACTAAATCTAGAGAACATGAGGCTTAGAGAGAATAGCCTCAAAAGAGAAGACTCTTTTGAATTTAAAAATAAATAAATAATGCGTCTAGAGTATGAACACTACAACCAGAGAAACTGTCTACTAATGGCTTTACTAATGTCACACATAGAGGAGTGTCTCTGTCTCTCTCTCTGTCTCTCTCTGTCTGTCTCT